CATAATCATGTTCTCATCGATTTGTCGGCGTGCTTTCTCTTGCCCGTCATCACAGGTGTCCCCAAACCGCAGAAAGAGCATGCAGTCATCATGTCAAAATTTGCATCTGAATGCATGACGGCCATGGGCCAGCTCATACATGATGAATTGGTGCACAGGCTAGGCGAGGATGTTGTGAATTTGCAGTTTCGAGTTGGATTACACAGTGGTCCCGTCACGGCGGGTGTCATTCGCGGCGATCGCCCCAGGTTTCAAGTACGTCAAAAGCGTTGCACGTCCATCCAACCATCAGATTGTCGCTCACTTGTCGCTTGATTTCCCTGCAATTTCCAGCTCTTTGGAGACACAGGTAAGCTCCTAGCTAGTTCAGTCACCTTTCCGTCTACGATTGATGAAAGGAACGTGCTTTTATGTCTTCTGTGGCTCACAAATTGCTTGCCTATCTTCTTTTTCATCACAGTCAATACAGCCAGTCGGATGGAGTCCAACAGTATGCCTGGAAGGATCCAGGCATCCCTTTCAACGGCAGAGCTCCTCATCCAGGCAGGGAAAAAGGCTTGGGTCGAAGAACGAGAAGGAGGAATCGAAGCAAAAGGCAAGGGACGACTTCGAACATTTTGGATTACTCCCATGAGTACCAAATCTTCCATGGCGCGATCTATACTCTCGGTCCCCCAGGAGGAGGAAGCCATCCAAACTGTGCCGGATCAAATCGATGTAGAAGGCCAGTTTGCAGAGTAGTCGAGACAACAAAATTTACTGATCTAAAACACACTCTCTCACACACAAAATATGTATAAAGGATATGGCCCCAATGGACGGATCAACACTGTGTGCAGCCGAAGCCGTAAGTAGCTGCACCTGGCTGAAACTGGGATTGGTCTCAGGAAGACCACCAATGGTTCCCCTCACCTACATAAGGTGCATTCAAGCTTGAAAGGATGTGTACAAGGCATAGCGCTGGTGGAATGCCGAACAAATGTTGGTGCTAATGAATTGAGACAACAACAATTATCTAAGAAGTTTGTCGAAGGCTCCCTTTGCTAATCTGTGCCATACTTTTAGTGCTGCCTTCGTTGGGCATCCGTAGTGTTGTAGGTTGTCTAGTTGAACTATCGTCTATGAATGATCAATCCCCAATGTCCGCAGTGCCGCCTTCACCAAGCGCTGCCCTAATTGAAAGGTCCTTTACAAGAAAGGATGTCAAGAGTGACGAGTCGAGTCTGCGGGCTTGCACGACCCAATAAGGGTCGATCGAGTCGAGTCCCTCTTGAAACGTTTGCAACCATGACTGGCGCGCGAGCATGATGCTGAAGGGATCTGTTCTCTCGATGTTGCTTTCGCTTTTCGTCCGATCCTCGTAACGATCGAGAGTGGATGCCCACCGGAATTACTATTGCTCCCAAGTTCCTCATTGGGACTACGTACACCAGGTTGAACCCATGTGGTCGGCCGAAGCTTCTGGTGGTTGTTGATCTCAACTAGGGCAGCACCCAAGTGCACCACGAGCAGGCGCTGACATCGCGTCACCTGCACGAGATCCGCACTCCAAACTAAAATCGAAGCGGCACATTTAGCTTTAGACTCGACTCAGCCCTGCACCCGCCCAGCTACTGTCCAGGATGGTTGCCTGTCGCATTGCACCTATATCTAAAGCAGACACGAGCGAAGTCAAACGCCCAAGGGTGAACGATTGGAATGTCATTGCTTCCGGGTACTGCCACCACAGCCATTCCTAGTGTGATGTTGGTGCTACGTCAGCCAATACACCCGCTTCATCTCTTCACTCGCCCCGCCTGTCAGTGCCTGCTAGCGCTATGCTATGGTATTCTCCGGCCAAGGACAGAGGATGGGTCATTCAGATGACTACCCAAACTGAGGAATGCCAACTTCCAGGATGTGAATTCTACTGAGCCTGCAGCCTCTAAAGCTTTCAACTTGGCTGCGTGTACGCATCATCATTTCTTCGGTGGTCTTTAGGCTTTAGAGCCCGGTCCAGGATTGGCTGCGACTATTGAACCACCCAGCCAAGTCAATGTTCATGTATAGATACTCCGCCCGCACAAACAACGAGAAAAGGGAGCGGCCATGCAGGCACGGAGATGTAATCAAATTTTAACCAAGGTACTACATGTACATGTACTGAGTACATTCATGTAGATTCGATTCGTTCGCTTCATGCTGCTGGCAGCTGCACTCACACTGAGTTGTCGATCAATCAGCAGGCGGCATTGGGTCGGGGCTTCTCTGCTTGCTTACCATGTCCACATGCGAACCAAATGGACCAAGGGATGAGAAGGAATCGTCCGCTGGCTGGTACCTAGCTAGTAGCTGGCAAGCTGATGGTCTTGGGCCAATACAGCTAGCTAGGGGCGGCTACATGTTGTACTTTCTGAGGGCTTCTCTGATGAGTACTATGGTACTGCTATGATGAGTCTCCGACGGAAATGTTCTGCTGATCTTGCCAAATGCTGCGGTGAAAGAGACAAAGAGACAATCAGAATAATAAATAGTACTCAGTATCAAATTTTGACCATTCAGTGCTACATTCGGTACCGTACTAGTACCACAAAGGAAATCTAGCTGGATCTTTTGGTTCATACTTTCTCTTTGGAAGGCATTTCTTCTTCCTTCGGGTGCCCTTTTCTTTTCTAAAAGCCAGAAGGGCAACAGCCGAATGGCTGTATAATGTATAATAGCTCTGGCAACCAAAGACGACCAGTCCCTCCATTGTTTCACCTATTGTCCTATTGTTTCACGCTGACTCATTGACGAATTTGCAAAGTAAATCCGAAAATCAACTTCGACAGTCTTCGACTGTCACTCAACTCGTGTAAGGCTGCTTCACGTGATGTTGTGTGATGTTGAGCGAGAGCCATTGAGCAGTGACCCATAGCTGTGCACCGGTAGCTAGCTGAACTGTAGCTGTGAGCTTGGCTGTACAAGTAAGTCGAGTCGACTCAGTCGAGCACAACTTCGTGGACACTGATATTTTTGGGTTGCGGAAAGGGTCTTGGTTTCCATAGGGAGGGGGAAGGTAATTAAATCTTATCGACTGGCTCAAAGTTTAATGTACAGAAAAGAGCAAAAGTGACACCATCAAGATTATGCAAGGCTTCCCTGTAAGATTCTCCATTGATTATGAGGACGGGTGCCTTATTTCGAAAGAACCAGTCAGACTTGCAAGAATTGATGTTCGCGACGTTACTTTCACAGTTTTAGTACACTAATTGAGACTAATTTACACTTCAGTACCCCCGAAAAAGCGGTACCGGAGATTTGCGACTGTCCGAGTGGACTGGGCGATGACGGAGCCTTCAGTGTTGATTTTGTTGTACAGATTGTTCATCAGAAGGCTGATAAAGTTTACAAGCTATTCTTCTCGTTCCCCATCAAGCTAGTCTAGCTCTGAGTTATCTTGTACTAGTACCTAGTACCGTCGATGAGCTGTGCAGTGTATTCTTTGGGCTTTGGCTGTGCTGTACGCGACAGACACTACGGTACTAGCCAGGTGGAGTTTCCGCAGGTGCTGGGCCATCACAGAGAGCCACCAGTTGGCTCATAAAATACAAAGCTACACCTCCGAAAACACAATCAAGTCTACCCAACGATCTATATTATAGCCACCATGAATACCGGGACGTTTCTTCGCTCCCTGTTGCTCACACGGACACAGAGTGGTAGCTTTCGAAACCTCTCGTTTCGTATCTGCCCAGACAATGCCAAAGGAGTTTCTTTCCTCGCAGCAGCTTCCTCGCCCGAGGTCGCGAGTCTCGACTTTTCGGAACAACGATGGCAAGAGACAACCTCGCAAAAGTCCTCCCAAAAGGCCCTCGCTCCCCCCAGCCCACCCTACAGGAGAACCTGCTCGAATGAAGAAGTGGCCATCACTCGATGGAGGGCCAACCGAAACATCTCGGACCAACGACTTCCCATGTCCGACCAGTCCACCAGCCATAGTAGCATCAGTCTGCCCCCCACTCGTCCCTTTCGAAGGGGAAACTCGCTCAAGGACCTCAACGTTCAAGGCGCTGCTGACGATCAGGAGCAAGAACCTTGCCTCATTCCGGTCACCAAGACTGAAAGACGGCCCCGTCGTAGCCTCATCAACAGAGAGGCTGCTGCGGCCTAATAAGCTTGACAAGCAAGTCACGAGGGGAGGGGGCAGGCATGAAGGGGACACCACACATAGCATAGAGCGGGATCTATGCACTACAGCTTTCTATCATTGTGCACTATTTAAAGGTATAATAACATGCAAAACAACACATTCCTTGATTCACTACGTCTTCTTTCCACTAGCTTCAATCTTAGTTCATGTAGGTGCATGGATTGGTTGGTCCAACAGCCATACAACGCTGCATCTCAGCTACTCACTCGTTCCGTCAGCAACCCCAGCTAGCTAGTTGGAACCGGGTGATCTGGCTGGCTCGACCTAGACTAGCTTGGTAGGCTACAAGTCAGTTGCCAAGGAGGCTCCCCATGGTTCCCCAGATTCAATTCACCTCCGTTGGCCAGCTACCGTAGACTTACCTGACAGCCAGGTAGAGACCCGACCCGACCCGACTCGACTCGGACTCCGACAGCTTGCCAGCTAGCTACCTGGTAGCGAGCTAGCAACAGGAAGACACAAAGCCAGTGACTGAAGGCTCTCAGAGGGCGTCTTCTCTAATCATGGAGATTCCGTCCCAGACTGGCTAACTGGGAAAGTGTGCGCGTCAAGAGCAGTCCACAAGAATTCTTTAGGAAGTCGAAGAATTCCACTTGGACATTGTGAGGGGAGTTCAGGGAAGGTGACTAGACCAACATGTCTCTTGGATGCTCTTCTTCTTTCTACAGCCGTATGGTACCGGTACAGTAGGAGCTCTACGCAGCACTCACACTCCACAGCAATTCCGCGTGCATCGCACGTGGGCTGCAACCGGTACCGTAAGCTAGCAGCGGAAAAACGGAAAAACATTCATCCCGAGTTACTCAGTGGCAAACGTCGCGCTTCCTTCGTTGTCTGCTGCAAGCCAACAGTTTGTTATTGTTTCCCACGTGCAATACACCTACGGTCTGTTTGGCTGGATCTTTGTGGTCAGCTGGCGTCGTTCTACATACCCGCACGAAACAAGTCGAAGCTTGAAGGGCCTGCCTCCTGTGCCCTTCCTGAACTATTGCAGTGCTGTTGGCTGTTGAGGTTTGAGGCAGGTCACTTGCGAGGAATTGTTCTCTACACCTCCTCCTCCAGTCATGACAGTCGCAAAACAAGCAAACAAGCAAACAACTAACTTACTAACTTAAACACTTAAACTGCACTACTTCACTTTCGATGCAAACTCACAGTCTCAGCCATGACCTCGTGGCTGGTCATTCGAAAAGAGAACGATCATCCATTGGAATTCTTCTTCCAAAGAAAGAAGGTTCATAGCTCCAGAAGACAGCCATCAAGAATCAAGATTGCCTGGCCCAAGATGTATGTTACAAGAATTCCTTTTGAGGAATGGTTCTCTCCACACTCACCCCTCCGGCTAGTGAGTGACTCGGTCAACAAGGAAGCCACTGCACTGCAGCAGGTAACTGCAGCCAGCGACTCGGATATATCCACTCACGCAGATCAGCCACAACAGTGGTCTTACAGGCAGGAGAAACGGGGGTTGATGGGCTTCTTGCTTGTTCTCTTGTTCCAAAGAAGGTTCAGCAACCAAGACGGCAACAGAATTACATGGCTGATGATTGAAGGCTGCCGTACCAGTAGCCGCACTGAGGTCCAAGCAGGCGCTGGTGGCAGGGGTGATCCTCCTTTGGGTCGGTTGCCGAATGAGAGATAGTTAATGCGACAAGGGTGTACCGACCGGTACGATGGTGCGCAGCAGCAGGTAAACTACAAAACTATGATGCGATCGGGTCTTGCAGCCATGTGCCATGGCTTCCGGATCCCCAATGCTAGACTACCAGGTAGTAGCTAGCTAGACTAGTAAGCGCTGCTTGGCAGTTCTTTTACCAGTACTAGCTAGTACGGTAGAGTGCACCTACCTTGCTGGATCTGATCTCGGAGCTTCGGATCCATCCAGATCCTGATCCAACTCGAGCGACTCGACTGTCACATGACTCAGCAGCTACTCAGTCACGCGTTCGAATTTCTAAATAATGTCTCGGGGCATTGTGAAAATAAGCCTCTCCACTCTAAGCAACACCTTTTCTTGGAGTATGATTTAACTTATTGCTAATTTAGGTCATAGCTTATTTGATCAGTACCAATATTACTGTACTAGACTGTCATCTGAAGACAAACAAAGCTTTAATGTCGATGTCTGTTTTAACTGAAAATGGCCGTACCACTTGCAAGATCAGATCCTTCGCCATCCGAGATCACTTCCGTCTCGTGGTTGAGCGGCGAATTCCTAGGATGCATCGCGTAAAAGCACTCAGGAACTCAGGAATCAATCTTCCTGAGCTGCTCCTGCCGGTTCCAACCCTCATTGAAACATCAGCCAACATCTCACAATTTCATCTACGGACAACAAAAACCACATTATCTACTACACCACAACAACAACAACAACAACATGAGTGGAGAATTTCTGTTACAACTGTTGGGCCAAGAACAAATGAGCAATCTTGTCCTTTCAACGGATAACGCCAAGGGTCGCTCTTCCTTTGTCCTCAGCGCGCCAGCAACTACTAGTACTAGAACTACATGTAGTACCAGCGCTGCTCTCTGCCGGTGGCAATCCACCGCAAGGACCACAGAATCTTCGCCTCCTCTTCCTCCAAGAAGGTCAAACAAGAACATTAAGAACAACAAGTCAAGAAATGTCTCTCCTACTAAAAGGAGTCTCGATCGATGGTCCAGTGATAGCAGTATCAGCAGTACCGGTAGTGATGGCAGTCCTGAGCCACCCCAATCACGAAAACGATCCGCAGCAGCTGCTTAAGCCAAACAAAGAAACAAACAAACCATAGATGATCACTCCAAGTCACTGTACCATACAGACAGTGAGGATGTTGATTATTACATGTACTTGCAGGGGGGAACAACATAGAAACACATAGACTTACAATAGAATACAATACAGAATTTAAAAAAACATAATACAGAAAGCCACACAAAGATACACAATTTCTATCGTATACAGTAGAACATCAGAATCAGTTGCAAGTAGTTGCGCCCAAAGTAGACTACCAGACCCCTTTCCCTGATCCGGTGCAGCTGCCATGGCATGAATGCTGCCGTGCTTGAAATCAATACCGTTTTCACTCGAACGAGAAGCTTGGTCTAGCTAGCCACGGCATCATTTCTATCATAGATGGTTTGCCGGGAGTTGCAAGAGACCAAAACAAGAGAAAGCAGTCCCAGCATTCTTCTTCGTTTTCTTCCCAGGCAGACGATGGATGGAGCCTCTGTAATAAACGTCCTGCTCAGACATAAGCTCTAGAACTCTAGAGACATGCAGTACCGGAATGAGACCTCGAGATTGCATAGCTGGTCAAAAGTCAAAATCATCTGCAGTGCAGAACTTTCTAAGGTCTCTGATAGAAATCAATTCGGTCCTCGCGCAGCATTCCTTCTTAAATTTGCATCCTTTATGGAACATACCGTAGTACACAATGTCATGTAAATGCTGCGATTAGTGAGTGAGCACACGGCAACAAGTGTGCGTGTAATCACCAGGCAGAGGGGTTCAATATCCGTAATAAGTACCGGTACCAGTAGTTGAGAAGACTTAAAGCCTTCCGGAAGAATGACGATTCGAGTCGTGGATAATCAGGATCCTAATCAATTTTTGGAGCCATCCTAATCAATTTTTGGAGCGGCTCCAAAAATTGATTAGGATGGCTCCAAAAATTGATTAGGATCCTGATTTATCCACGACCCGAATCGAATCATTCAATCCAAGGTACGGTACGGCAGATCATTCGTTAGGCCGCTGTCGTCGCAGTGGCACTGAATGCGTCGAACGATTGCATTGAATCATTCGAATAAATCGATCGAATGATCAAGTTGAGGTCATGAATGGGACTGGGCAGCCTGCCTGGCTCTCGGGACTTCATGCCTCTGTTGTTCTCTGCAAATCGCGAAAGAAGTGAAAGTCGGAGGCAGTTGTCGAACGCGACGTGCTCTTGTGTGTATGGTTAGTTAAGCACGGAACGGATCATCCGCATCATGGTGCTAATACTCTCGACAGCAGTGCTAATTACGGTATCGACGGCAACTGCTAATTACCATGTTTTTGAACTCACTTAGAAGATTCCAGACATCTGTATAAATCTCCAAGAATTGGCGACACTCTCATTCATTGCGCATTGACAATGTTCGAGCAACTTTCCTGGAATGGCGGTGCAAAGCATCTGAAGCCTCTCCACTTGTATCATCCTTATCACTCCGATCCATCCTCGGCTTTCTCCGATTCGATTCATTCTACTCGATTGGCGTAAAGCGGTATACTGCATGTTCGTACCGTGTATATAGGTCAGGCCAGGTGAACTCTCGTGGTGGCTCAAGTTTTTGGAGTACGGAACTGTACGGCGCCTAAAAAAGCAAGTCCATTGCAAAACTCAAAGCCAACAAATACTTACTACACGAAATATCAACCCAGCCATGAGATTGAACGCATCCTCCACTCTGATCGTGGCGGTGACCACGAGTCTTTCGTGGGCAGTCGTGACGGACGCAGCAGCGCACAAGAGATTGCGTTATCGACGACAGGAACCTCAGGAACCTCAAGATCACCGCGAAATGGCTTCTCGCTCATCTAGTGCGACTTCGTACGAGTTCGAGACGCCTCCGTTGCTGTTCGTCAACCTTCCACAACCGAAACAACCAGAAAACAACGACCCCCTTATTTACGACAAGGAAGAAAAAGAAGAACAAGATTTCTGGTCCGTCTATTTGCAAGGTCTCGTTGCGGGGAGTTTTATGCAGGGGGCTACAGAGACGCCAGGACAACAACCTACTGATAAGCCCGTGCCAGAACCTGTACCAACAGATCCAGTAACCCCTGTAGACGGTGATAACACAACTGTACCTGCAACAACTTCCAAACCAACGGCAACGCCTCAACCTGAACCCGACAATGACGCGTTCCAACCCACCGAAACTCCCTCCAAAGCCACGCCCATGCCGGTCATCAGTCCAACCAAGCTTCCCACTGAGCAACTATCCACGGAACCCACTCAAGATCCCCTCACAGACGACCCACAACCTCCAACGAAAAATCCCATCGCAAGTCCCGCCTCCACCGATAAACCGACAACCAAGCCTCCCCCACCAACGCCGTCATTGCAACCAGACACTCCTGTACAAAACCCAACTTTGGCGACTGCAACTACAGTTCCAGCATCGCCCCCCACCATGGATTCTGTGCTGCTTCCTTCTGCCGAACCAACAACAACGGAATTTCCATCGTCGTCATGGCCCACCCCTGATCCGACGCTGGATCCTACATCGGATCCTACGATGAAGCCAAGCACCATGCCAGGCGATGTAGAACCAACGACTTCTTCGGAACCCACGCCCGTTGTCGCAACGCAGCCCAGCGGTACGCCAACGGTAGCCGTAACATCCTCACAGCCTGCCGAGACAGTCGTACCAACTCGCGTCGTCCAACAGACCTCGTCCCCGACTCTAGCTCCGTCACCGGGACAGCTGGCCACTACAAAGGAACCAACAAAGCCCCCTTCAACAGCATCAGGGGGTGATACGAACGTGCCAACCGAGATGCCTTCGAAATCGGCAACGGAAACGCCTACACTAGCAAACTCGGATTTGTCACAGACCACCCCAGAGCCTACAGCGGTCGCCCCAGACAGTACACAAGCTCCTAGTATCACACAAACTACACTTGAACCTGTACCCACAAGCAGCACCAAAACCCCGTCCAAGGCACCTACACCGGATCCTTCCGCTCCAAGCGCTGACAACGACACGAATGTTCCAACAACAGATGCAAGCACAAGTACAGCAGCACCCAGTTCCATGACCACTTCATCAACAACGGAACAACCAACTGGAACACCCACAATGATCGGGACTGACAGTGACGTGGCACAGCCAACATCTGATATGGAAAATCCAACAACCAGCACAAGCAAACCTACCATTGCTCCCGTTGATACGGCAATCCCCTCCGCTACCGTTTCAACCAGTACGCCAACAAAATCAAACGAAGAACAACCAACTGGCGCTCCCACAATAATGGGCTCTGGTAGTGGTGAACTTCCCACCACTGGTAGTGACGCAGCAACAATAGCCCCAACTACAACCACTTCCACGGAAAAACCAACCTCTACCAGTACTTCAAAAACACCCAGCATCACGTCCACACAAAGGCCTACAGTCAAACCAACGGATGCTCCCACTGCAATTGGGGCTGATGGTGTCGTCACGCAGCCCACAACTACTGGTGGTGCACAAGACACAGAGACTCCTACCACAGTTGCTGCAGATGAGACAGAAGCCCCGGCACCTCCCACGCAAGTGAAACCACCTTCGGGAATGCCCTCAATAGTTGCCTCTGATGGTGAACCCAAGCAGCCCACAACTTCTGATGGTGGTGGCGAAACAACTGTGCCAACTTCTGCAGCTCCTGCTTCCGGCGCACAGGAACCATCATTGACGAGTGCTACTACAGCTCCTGCTACCGGCACACTGGAACCAACAAGTATGAAACAGCAAACAGGGATGCCCACTGAACTTTCTTCAGATGGGGTTGTCACGCAGCCCACAACCCCTGGCAGCAATGGAACAAAAATGCCAACTTCAGTCCCTGGCACACAGCAACCATCGACGACTAGTACTACAGCAGCCCCAATCCCTGGCACAAAGGAGCCAACAAGTATGATTCAGCCAACAGGAATGCCCTCTAAAGTTGCTTCTGATGGTGAAACCAGGCAGCCAACAAGTATGAAACAGCCTACAGTCGTGCCAACTGCAGTTGCTTCGGATGGGGTTGTCACACAGCCAACCAGTCCTGGCAGTGTTGACACACCTGTGCCAACTCCCACACCAAGCAAACAACCATCATTGAGCAGTAGCACAAGTACAAAAGCACCCAGCCCCAGCACACAGGATCCAACTGCAGCATCCGATGTTACAAAAGTTCCTACTAGTACAGACACACCATCAACCAATAATGAACAACCACAGTCCCTCTGAAATTGCTACTGATATTGATACATCCCAGCCAACAACTTCTGGTGGTGTACAAGAAACAGGTGCTCCAACTACAAGCACACAGGTACCAACTGCTGCCTCCGCTGCGACGGCTATTCCAACCACAACAACAATCACAACTGCGCCAACATTAGTTGGACAGTCAACGGTTAAACCTACAAAAGATGACTTTGATGGTGTTGTCGTCCAGCCCACAAATGATGGCAGCAATGACACGCCAACTATAGCAGCTGGGACACCAACCTCTCCCAATACTACAGGGGCTCCTGCTGCCGCTACAATGCAGCCAACAAATAGAGGACCAGAAACAGCAGGACCAACAATAGTTGTTACCGACGGTGTTGCCACACAGCCCACAGCACCAGATGATGAAACCGAGAGTCCAACCACCACCACATTGACAATAATCCCAAGTGCCAGCACTGGTGGCAACTGGCCAACATTTGCAACTCAGCCAACAGGAACACCCACAGGAGTTGGTACAGATGAGGGTACCACACGACCCACAACTGAAGAAGATGACAACAATGCAGAAAGTCCAACTACCATCACTTTGACTATAGTTCCAAGCAGCAGCACTGGTGACAACTGGCCACCAACTGTGATGCAACCAACAGATCAGATTGCCACAATAGCTCCCTCAACCAGTCCTGTTTCCCAGGCACCCACAACAGATGATGCCAATGCCGGCAATGTGGCCCTTCCCCCCGTTGCGCCATCAAGCACGCTTGATCCAACAACGACTACTATCCCCACGAAGCAACCTGAAACTGCTGCACCGGTAAAAACAATCGTACCTACCAACGTTGGTAGTATGATGGGAGGTCCGAGCAAGTCGCCAACTGTTTCAGGTGATGGCGTCAAGCCATCTAATGCGCCATCCGGTGTGCCTGCTAATGAGACGCCCGTGCCATCGGCTGCTCCTGTGCCCTCCACAGCACCCGTCGAACTTTTCACCTCCGAGGAACCGTCCCATGCTCCAACAGAATTACCTTCGAGACCTGTGGACACACTTGGGCCAACTGGATCGTGCGGGTTGCAGGTAAGAAACATTCGTGTGAAAAGTGTATGCGGATGGATTACGCCATTTGACTCACAAATACTTCTCGCTTCTACAGACTCTTATCAAGTGTCAGACTATTCATCCTCTGAGTGCTGAGACGGTTTCATGTGACGAGATATCGCCGCTCGAAGACACAAGCTGCAAGGGTCCCATGGAGCGTGCTCAGTTTCAAATCATATATGCCTCGTGTGACAAGAGTCGGAATGGACAGTCTGCTGATGCGTTTGTATGCACCGACGTGGCTGCATTCGATAATGAGCCTCTTGTCCGAGTGGTGTGTTTTGATGCTCGGGAACAGCTACTGATTGACGTTTCCAGGCTGCAGTATGAAGATTCGTTCTACCTCGATCTCTCGAATAGTTCAGCAACGGCCAACGAAACCACGTGTTCCATCTATTCTGCTGCTGATACCGACGACGACGACGAAGGGATCTTGCTACAAAGAGTGACAATGGATTTGTCTAGTAGTTCGTCGTCGTCACCTGTCTTGGGGCTCCAAAATACATTTGGAAGCTTGCAACTCCAAGGATGCGACGACCTCCAGTGCGACCACGAAGTTTCTTACGCGTACACAATTCTCAACAATGGCAGCGAGGCTGCCATCATCACGTCACTACAAAGCAACCGCACATCATCATCCGGTGTCGACGTCCAAGATCATCTAAATGATTTGTGGTCCCCCGAAATAGCAGCTGGCAGTGTCGTCATTCTGCCCCGAGATGAAACCATCAATAGGTGCAGAGACAATCACTTCACAACGCATGTGCAAGTCGAGGCAACGTCTGAATTGAGCGGTTTGACGTGCCCCTCTGAATCTACCTACCAGTTTTCAACCAGTGTGTCATGCCTTCTAGCCGTCGATATTCAATGCTTTTCCGATGAGGGGGTTGACTGTTTACAGCTTGAAAGCCCTGCGATCTCTTGTGGTAATGCTCCTTTGACTGAACTGAGATTCAAATACCAGCCTAGAAACTGCAATGAAAGCTTTGCGATTTCTCCTCAAAGTGAAGGACATAGCACTTGTGTGGATTTCCAAGAGATCCCTAACTACTACCCCGTGGGGATTGTGTGCTTGCCATATGCCGACGGCGTGGTCGACAGCAATGCGTCCTTTCCTGAAGAAACTGTTTTCCCGGGCAAAACAATTGACATCAGAGCAACTGATGGATCAGCACTCCCCCCGACATTGCTATGTGTCATTAGAGATTCGGCGGCATTGGGGGGCAGCAGCCTCTACCAGGAAGTTACGTTTTCAACATCCAACGCGGAGACGGGAGAATTGCTGGAGCTCAAGAGTACGTTTGGCAGTCTCCAGCTTCAACGGTGCTCGGATCCTTCCGGAGAGGTTGCCGATTGCATGGCCGAAATAGACTTTACATATACCATCGACAACATTGGGACCAATGAGATTGACATCACTCAATTCGAACGCACAACAAACGGTATATCCGTAGAACTAGAGAATGGTCTGTGGCAGACAAATCTGGCACCTGCTGACAACCTGCGATTGGCGGAACGACGAACCGTCAACTTGTGTGATGCTCGAGAATATCAAACCAGCGTCATGGTTGCCGCGAATCCACCTAACAACCTTACTTGCTTCGGCGAAGCTCAGCATGAATTTGAAGTAAACCCGCCATGCGACGTCGTTGTGATGCTGGGATGCACAACGTTGGGCGGAATTGACTGCAATGAACTGGTTGGGGAGCAGATGGTGCAGTGCATGTGCGAAGATGGCTGTCCAAGGGAGCTGGTGTACAGATACACTGCAGCGTCGTGTGCCGAGGATTTGGAAGGCTGCGCTGATTTTGCTCCGAACGAGGCTCTAGTTGAGTTGGTCGTGACGAGTGACGAAGTCAAGTTCTTTGAAGGTCGGGTCCAAATCGACGACGACATTGTGCTCGAAAACCAAGGCGAGTGTCTTCCAGAGAAGTTTCAAATCAACGTTGTTTCCATTGGGGCTGGCGATATTTCCCAAATTGCGATGCTCGACTCTTCGTGCGACACCGGTCGCAATGCACTACTTGACGACTTTGGTGCATTTGAATTCGTTGGGTACACCTGCTCGGACCTTGTCCCTCACAATTGCCACGTCGATGTTGAGTACCAAATTGATACTGCATGGAGTGGAACCGAGGACCAAGTCTTGTCCGATTGGAACTTTGTACTGAATGGTGTTGAGAGTCCTGGTTCCATTACGTTTCCGGCATTGACCACCCAGAACGAGTACTCCACTATCATACCATCCCAAGTTGATCTTTGCGCGGACGGCCAACACGATGCCTCGGTCTACGCTGTTGGGAAGGCTGACACAACTGGAGAAGAGTGCTCTGACGAGGCTGCTTTGGTTTTCAACATTGCGGCTGGCACACCGTTCCCAACTAACAGTCCGAGTGATGTATCAGCCCAACCTGTGTCGCCGAGGCCTACTAGTGTAACGAGCAACGGTACAATCTCGCAGCCAGCTTTGATACCGAGTCAATCACCCGGTCAAACGCAAGCCGAGCTGCCTTCAACCACAACCCAACCGAGCTATGAACCCACCGTTGAAGCTAACATGGTTCCAAACAGCTCAAGTCCTGTCATTCCTGTGCTTGTTCCTACGGACACACCAAGCGTCATGCCCGCTGGCATCCCTAGCAACGCCGCAACAGAACTGCCAACAATGCCACTTTCGAACCAACCAACAAATGTTAACACTGGAAGTGTGGTGGGACCCACAACTTTGAGTGACACAAAACCTTCCAACCAGCCAACAATCATTGACATTGGAGGTGTTGTGGGACCCACTGCAATTAGTGACACAGTACCATCCAACCAGCCAACAATCGTTGACATTGGCACTGTGGTAGGACCAACCACTATCAACGACACAGAACTTTCTAACCAGCCAACAATCATTAACACTGGAAGTGCTGTTGGACCAACCACTATCAGTGACACAGAACCTTCCAACCAGCCAACAATCCATTGACATGGAAGTGTTGTGGACCAACCACTACAGTGACACAGAACCTTCCAACCAGCCAACAACCGTTGACATGGAAGTGTTGTGGGACCAACCACTATCAGTGACTGAACCTTCCACCAGCCAACAACATTGACATGGAAGTGTTGTAGGACCAACACTATCAGTGACACTGAACCTTCCAACCAGCCAACAACCATTGACAGTGGAAGTGTTGTATTACCAACCACTATCAGTGACACAGTACCATCCAACCAGCCAACAATCCTTGACATTGGCACTGTGGTAGGACCAACCACTATCAACGACACAGAACTTTCAACCAGCCAACAATCATTAACACTGGCAATGCTGTTGGACCAACCACTATCAGTGACACAGAACCTTCCAACCAGCCAACAATCCTTGACACTGGAAGTGTGTGGGGCCCACGACTACAGTGACACAAACCTTCCAACCAGCCAACAACCGTTGACATTGGAAGTGTTGTGGGACCAACCACTATCAGTGACACAGACCTTCCAACCAGCCAACAACTTGACATGGAAGTGTTGTAGGACCAACAACTATCAGTGACACGAACCTTCCACCAGCCAACAACCATTGACAGTGGAAGTGTTGTAGACCAACCACTATCAGTGACACAGACCTCCACAGCCAACAATCCTTGACATTGGATGTGGTAGGACCAACCACTATCAATGACACAGAACTTTCAACCAGCCAACAATCTTAACACTGGAATGTGTTGGACCAACCACTATCAGTGACACAGAACCTTCAACCAGCCAACAATCCTTGACACTGGAAGTGTGTGGCCCACACTACCAGTGACACAAACCTTCCACCAGCCAACAACCGTTGACATGGAAGTGTTGTGGACCAACCACTATCAGTGACACGAACTTCCAACCAGCCAACAACATTGACAGTGGAAGTGTTGTAGGACCAACCACTATCAGTGACACAGAACTTCCAACCAGCCAACAACCTTGACAGTGGAAGTGTTGTAGGACCAACCACTATCAGTGACACAGAACCTTCCATCCAGCCAACAATCCTTGACACTGGAACTGTTGTGGGACCAACCACTATCAGTGACACAGAACCTTCCACCAGCCAACAATCGTTGACAGTGGAACTGTTGTGGGACCAACCACTATCAGTGACACAGAACCTTCCAACCAGCCAACAATCCTTGACACTGGAAGTGGTGTGGGGCCCACGACTATCAGTGACACAAATCCTTCCAACCAGCCAACAACCGTTGACATTGGAAGTGTTGTGGGACCAACCACTATCAGTGACACTGAACCTTCCAACCAGCCAACAATCCTTGACACTGGAAGTGTTGTGGGGCCCACCACTACCAATGGCACAGAACTGGAAGCACCAAGTGGAATGCCCAGCGCGAAAGAAACTGACATGCCCACTAGCCTCGCCGCCAGTCCCATGCCAAGCATCTCTTCCTCCGATGCAGCGACAATAGTGTTGACAAGTCAACCAAGCACCGGGGATCTCGATGGAGCCATTGTAGAAACAATGACACCATCAAGCGTTCAGCCATTTGCTACGCCGGACACGGGGGCAACAACATCCCCAACCGCGCCAATCGGTGATGGCGTGGCTATTACTTTGATCACAACTGGCATGCCCAGTCAAACGCCAAGCCTACAGCACAGCGATTCGTCCAGTGAGGTACCATCAAGCGTTCAGCCATTTGCTACACCCGGCATGGGGGCAACAATTCCCCCAATCGCGCCAATTGGTGGCAGCGCCGAAATTACTTCGGCTCCCATTGACATACTCGTACCCAGCCCTACGCCAAGCCAACAGCAGAGCGATTCAATCAGTAAGGTACCAAGTACTGTCATGACATCCGTTCCGCTCAGTGAAGTGCCCACTGGTGGTGATGTGATTGAAACAGAAGAACCAGGCTCCCTGCAACCGACTACTGAAGATGTTGCTGCTGCGAGTGGACCGGCCAACACAGTTCTTCCGACCATGAGTTTTCCGTCGAGCCCTGGTACCACGACAGTGCCAAATCCTGGACCAACTGGGGTCCCGAGTAGCATACCAGCTAGTGCATCCATTGAGCCTTCTCCACCCTTGCCTACGAGCGCTCCTACCCTTTCCAACTCTGCGTCCGGCAACGTCCAAAGCGACATGCCGTCGTCTTCTTCAACTTTCCTATCTTCCTTGACAACAACAATTATGCCTTCGAGTCAATGTGTGATTACGGTAAGCCTTTAGAGAAGGTTTGAAAGCGATTGATTATTCATGTCTTCGGCTAACCTTCACTCATTTCCTCTGTATTGCAGACCGAGGTTGATTGTTCTACAGACGCTGGCGCCCCCTGTTCTGATCTCAAGCCCATTGAAAGATCTTGCTCAGATGATGGCTCCATCAGCTCAGTGCGTTTTCGTCTAAAGTATGCCTCCTGCGCGGAAAGCTATCAGAACCAACCTGGTGTAACTTGCGTTGACCTAGGAGGCATTCCAGACAGTGCACGGCTAGCCAGAGTTTCGTGTAGTGATTCGAATTCCAACGTGCTCTATTCAAAAGTCGTCAGTGAAGGGGGGGAAATCGAACTGTCGGTCAACAATGGGCTGCCTCCCTACATTTCTTGTACTCTAACCACCGCCGATGGCGAAGATATTCAAAAGATATCTTTCAACCTTTCGGGCGAAGAGGATTTGAAGCTTCAGAATACGTTTGGAAGCCTTCAGCTCGAAGCATGCGACGAGTATGACTGCATGGTCGATGTTTCGTATTATTACTCGATAACGAATACTGGATCCATGAATGCAAACGTTACCACTCTCGAGAGGACCAGGGGCAACAATACGCAAGTACTCATACCCATCCTGGGATCCACTATTGCGGAGCCAGGAGCAACAATCGTTGCCAGCGAAGGGGAAAGTGTCAATGCGTGCAACGACCAAGTCTACTCTACAACGATCAACGTGATCGCAACATCACCGAATGGAGGCATTTGTTTGTCATCCTCGACCTCCGAGTTTGAGACCGGCGTGGCATGCGACATGGACGTTACAATTGACTGCATGTCCGCACTTGGCATTGACTGTGGGTCCATGGACAGCCCTCGTTTGCTCTGCAGGGAGCCGTCTGACCCGGCTCTCGCTAAACTAACTTTTCGGCTGTCGTCGTCACAATGCGAAACAAGCACTCCAACCAACAAACAAACGGGAACATCGTGTCAGGACTTTGGGGCGATCCATAAGAATAGTTCTGTTGGCGTAGCCTGTAAAGCAGACTCGGAAGCTGCGGTTTTCCTGGACGTCTATCCAAGCAGTGGTCATATTGGGGAAACGATTGTTGTTTCAACGTCGGATGGATCTCCCCTTCCCGATGTCCTCACCTGTTCTATGGTGGACTCAGAGGTGGGCGACACACTTCAGGAAATGACGTTCTTCACTTCGAACGGGCCAGATGTTGTAGAGCTAAACCTCAAGGATTCCTTTGGCGCGTTAGAGCTGGTTGGCTGCCTGAGCGACGACGGTACAAGACGAGACTGTCTTCAGTCGGTTCAGTACAGCTATGAGCTTCTCAATGTTGGAGTCAACGCGATGGACGTCACGACAATGGAACGTACGCGTCGGGACGAAACGGATCTGTTGGTGATTATCGTTCCTGACATAAGCAACATCCAACCGGGCACAACCGAGACAGTGGTGGAAACCGACACGGTGGACATGTGCGAGGAGGGCGATCAAACAGTCTCACTGATGGCCAAAGCAAGTTCCCCAAGTAACATCACATGTGACGGGACAGCTACGCACAGCTTTGACGTCAGCCCTCCGTGCAGAGTCTTTGTCAAAGCTACCTGCGAGCAACTGGACGGAAGCGACTGCGAAAGCCTGATTGGCGAGCCCATGATGCAGTGTCAATGTCCTGACTCGTGCACGTCTTCGCTTACCTACCGATACACCGGGAGCGCTTGCGAGAACACGACTACTGACTGCGTCGATGCATGGGAGAATGAAGCTGTCGCTGACGTCGTCATTACGAGCGGGAACTTGACCTACTTTTCTGGTAAAGTGCAAGTGGACGATGACCTAACTCTCCGGAGTGCAGGAGGCAATTGTCTGCCTGAAAACTTCAGAGCGGTTGTCAGATCTTCCGCTGATCTCGTGACCACGCAAACAGTGCAAATTGATTCCTCCTGTGCCCGTGGGAAGAATGCACTTTTGGATGAGTTTGGGGCTTTTGTCTTTGCTGGCTACACTTGCGAAGACGATGGGGTAGAACACACATGCTTCGCCGAGGTGCAGTTCGAACTTACTGTTTTTGGCTCGGGGATTAGCGCCGAAGCAGCAACTTCATCTTTGCAAGTTTCTCTTGATGGCAAGGTGGTTTCAGATGATGAGAGTGTAATGACCTTTGCTGCCGGTGACACGGGCAATCTTGTCGCGTATCAAACCAGCGAAATAAACCTTTGTGTTGATAGCCAGGTCATTGCCAATGTCGGTGTTGAGGCAAGCGGCAAATCAAATGACAGCCAATGCAGCGCTACAACCGCAATCAAATTTGATATTCTCGCGGACTCGTTGTCGCCAGTCCCTGCACAAATATCGAGTCCGCCTTCTACAGTTAACCCCTCAGCACAACAAAGTGCAGGCCCCAGTGCCATTTCAACGGCATCGCAGGTTGACCTTCCAACTGACATTCCGACGCTTGTCCCTACCACCAAAATACCTTCCTCCCAACCACTAACTGGCGACCTGATCCCATTGCCAAGTGATGTTTCAAGTGACAACAAACCGACACTTGTCCCTACTACCAAGCCATCACCGGGCCAACAAAATATCGCGCCAAGTAATGATTCAAGTGATGACACCCCGACAATTGCCCCTACGACCGAGTCGTCATCACAAGCTACAAGTGTGCAGATTTCAATGACAACCAATGTTCCGAGCGATGTCAACCCAACACTTGTCCCCACTACCGAAAACTCATCGGGCCAACAAGCTAGCATGCAGAGCCTGACACCAAGTTACTTGCCAAGTGTTGGATTTGTGTTGGCTCCCTCGTCATCGCCAACAGAGACTTGTAAATTTGACCTGGAAACAACTTGTGTACCACCCCCTGGGGCTACAAGCTGCAATGCCACACCGCCCCCTGTCGAGCAATGCTCTGGGCGACCCTTTGAGATGGGTTTCTTGTTCAATGGAGGAGATTGCGAACAAAGTTTCAATGTACAAGGTGAATCTGGGCTTTTCGTTTGTGCGGATAATAATGGAGGGCCGCCAACGAGTCGCAACGAATCAGCATTCATTGTTGTGACAGACACGAATGGTGAAACGATCTATCACCAAGGCTGGGTCCAAGTGGGCTCCGCTTTTACTCTTTCGGATGGAGGCAACCGATTCGAGGCGAACCAGCTGATCACTATCTACAACAGCAACATTACTGACAATCCAGAGAGCATTCTTCAGGCTATTCAATACCACAGCTCATGCTCCAGCAATCTCTTTCTGAAGGACAGATTTGGGGCTGTCCAGCTCATCCAATGGACGAACGAGGATCAGGGTGTGATATCATGCTTTGCCAACCAGACATTTGAGATGGATATTACCGTTCCGTTCGACATCGAAGGTGGACCCTCAACCCTAACCAGTCTTACAATTGTCTCCAATGTCGAACCGTTCTTCTTCAACTTGACTGAAAAGGTTGCCGGAGCTGTCCTGGATGCCGGCGAAACCTTTTCCGCTTCCATTGCTGTCACGTTGGATTTGACAACACGCAAAACGTACAACTTTTTAATTACCGTTGGCGCCCAGACAACCACTGGACGACAATGTTGGGGTACTGATCTGCAGACTTTCACTGCCGGATCACCCTTGCCGCCTCTCTACCCAACCACTGCCCCAACCGTGTCTCCAACTGGAACCAATGCACCAACGCCAGATCCGGAAACGGATGTCTGCAAATTGGATGCTGACATTTCCTGCCGGACATCGTCAGGAAGAGGGTGTCGCAGCATTTCGCTTCCCGCGGCTCGAGTGTGCAATGACGACAGCGAGCCTCCCATGGTACTGGAGTTTGAGTACACTGGTAAAGGCTGCGCAACGGTGTCATCGAATGGTGTCTGTCGGCAAGCAGTCAAGGGCGTCAACCTGACCAACGAGGTGGTGTATATCATTGTCGAAGGGCAACGAAACTCGGTACTCTTCAATGGGATGGTGGTCAAGGGAACTTCCCTGACACTGTCGACCAATCTTGGTCGAGACGTCAACATTATAATTTCAGAGGTGGATCCTGCGACGGGTCTTCCCACGGCAGAACTGCAGCGAATCCACCGTCTGGACACGAGATGTCGTGGTCAGATTGGCAGAGACCTGACGTTGTTGGAAGACTACGGAGCTCTACGACTGGTTGGGTACATGACCAAAGCGCAAGGGCGGGTGTCCACACTTGAGACTGTTACTCTAACGTATTCGATCCAGAACGAGGGGGTGTTGCCCGCAGTGCTTTTTTCTGCTGTGAAGGAAAGTGCCTTTTCGGAGGATGGTGCCAGCGAGCAGCTCTTGTCTGTCGCACAGAATATCACTGCAGGTGAGGTGGTGTCTTTTGACGAAGTGGTTTCCTTTGATGTGGAGGAAGCCTCCAAGAACAACACTGAGTTTGAATTCAAACTTTTTATTACCGGGGATTCTTTGACGAGTGGTTTGGCTTGCTTTGACCATGCCCACTACTTCTTTCGGGTATACGATTGATGGAATGATCGATCGAGTGATCTACTAGGGGACTTGTATTGAGCTGAAGAGCCAACGTTCGTGACTTTCGGCTGCCAAAGGAGGTTACACCGTAGATCCTCCGTCAAAAGTTGGCAGCCACCGTCATCATCATCATCTTGAAGCGTTTTATCTGGCTTCACCCAGCTGCTTCCTTAGTCATAGCTATACATGCATACGACATACATAAATATGTTCATAACTTCATACGAACGCTATATGCCGGTACCGCACCGTAGCTAGCAAACAAGCAAACTAGCTACCGGTACTAGCTAGCTAGCTAGTGGAGCTCAAACAGCAAGATGAGGTGCCTCGTTCGTCATTGGTGATAACTTGCTGCCACCGTATCCCTCTCGTGACTAGCTACATGTAGAAACTATGCGCTAAAGCTGAAAGGCAGTTTCAGTCATAGGCACGGCGGGTAGCGGGCTCTTGTCTTGTAGGCAAGGCATCTACATGACTTGATTACGAGTCCGAGGATGGAGCTCATGACAGGCATACAATGTAGACAAGCTCATACCACAGCCGCCCTTCTCTTCAAAGGGCAGCCCAGAGGAGCCAAATTGATTGAATCGAACCATTCAGCTGCCCAGCCAGCCATTCTTGAGGAAGAACGATGGATAGATGAACTTCTCCAGGGCAAGCCACCATTGCGGCTGCGTTTCCAGGAAAGCAGACGGAGCATTGAGGGATGGCACGATGAAGCGACAACCAAGGACAAGGAACATGTATGTGGGAACGGGACCTACGCAACGTGGAGTACTACATGTTGCTTGCGTGACGTATAGTGCCGTCTCACAAACATCCTCGTTAGGGCCAAAGCTTGGCTCGAGCGAACGAGCTAATTACCAAGATGCCTGACGCTTCAAGTTTCAAGTTTCAAGATGTACAGGTAGCTGGCTAACTCCCAATTCCCGAGCTTGGCATCAAGAGAGATACGATTCAGCAGGAAGCAAGCTTCATGTATGTAATCCATGGCGCGAATGAACCACGAACTCATCTACTAGCTATAGGCATGTAGCTACCAGGAATGTTAGAATCAAGCTGGGTTCTAGCTAGTGCTCCACTTGCAGGGGATCATCAATCTAAGACTTCAAGTAGTTCTGATGACCTCGGTGCCCTCATCAAACAGCACTGTTACATCCCGGATGGAATTGGAAACCAAGACCATCCTCATGCATCCTCCATGATATCTTCCGAAGATATCATGCATCCTCCATGATATCTTCCGAACAGCTCATTTGATTATTTGATGGTGTCAGGTCACGGTTTTTTGCGTGGGACCTGAAAATGGCGGTGGGAAGTGTTTCAATTCCCGGGTTGAATCAAATCCCGCCGTTAGCGGTGGCGGGCAGCTGATGAAATGTCGACGTCACAGAATCGAACAGCAGAGGTGAAAGGGTGTTGCTTCTGGTTTTTTTGAACTGGTCAAGATGGCCGTGTGACATCTCTATCTTTCAAAAGGCGGCAATCTTGTGGAGAAAGAAGTGTTGATTTTTGAATGACGTCAGGATCATAAGATATTTCCAGCGAGGGTGGAATTGCCAGCTTCCATTAATATTGACAGCTTGGGTGACAAACAAGGTGCACGGGTCGCCTATTCTAAAAGCATCCAACGGTCTAATTACCAAAAGTCAACAGCGAGAAACGGCGGCGTGCCGTAGACATTGTACCAGAGTGTATTGGATCCAACGGTTTTGACTCGCACCACAATTTGTTCACTCCATTGGAGTAATTAGTGTTTTCCGGAAGCGGGATTTTGGGCGCGAATGAGATCGCATGACGAGCTTTTGATGGAGTGTGCTGTACAGTAATTAGGATAGTGAATAGTTATGTGACAGTCTAAAATGGGCAGGCATCATCTCTTTGATCGATAGTCTGTCTTAGTTATCAGAAGATAGAAATCTTTGTCATGAATAGAATATAAAAGCAAAAATTGGGCCATCCAAGACGGGGCTTGGCTTGCCTCATTTTCGTCGAGCTCATCTTAGCTGTTGGGGATTTGCCAAACGGCGCCTCATAAAATCCATCATCGATCAGGCAATCCAACCACAAAGCTTCCAACCAAGCAACTACCAGCTAGTAGCTAGCTAGCTAATCTCATCTCATCTATCTGATCTGATCACTCTGATCTCATTATCTTGGTTTGGTTTGGTTTGCTCTGATTGATTGGAAATCTGCTTCTCCTTGCTCTTAAGAACCCATCCATCTACCCATCCAACTACCCATCTACTAGCTAGCCAAGATGAATCCGTATTTCTCAGCCCACACGATTATCAGTACCAACCAGATTGTGCAAGACAACAAGATGGCTGAAGAAGAACTGAATGCCAATGACAACAACCTACCTACTATTGAGAGTGACAGTAGTACGGAAGGTGAAGACAATGACGCTAGTTCCACCGCTACTACTAGTTCTACTGAAAACAAGTACTTTTTAAAGACAGATCCAGATCAAGATGACAAAGCTAGTGAGATCAAGCTATGGTCGTTTGCGCGTCCGCATATGCGTGCGTTTCACTGCGCGTGGTGGGGCTACTTTATTGCCTTTAACTTGTGGTTTGCGGCGGCGCCCTTGCTTTCCGAGATTCGCGATTCTTTGAAACTAACGGATGAACAAATCTGGACGTCTTCGATTGCTGGAGTGGGTGGAACTGTGATTATGCGTTTTCTATTGGGACCTTGTTGCGACAAGTACGGAGCCCGCATTCTCTACTTGGTCATTCTCTGTAGTGCGAGTATCCCCACGGCTTGCCTAGGGCTAGTACATACGGCTACAGGACTTACCGTGACGCGTCTGTGCATTGGATTTGCCGGAGGCACTTTTGTCATGTGTCAATACTGGTGCACCAAAATGTTCACTCCCAATGTTGTTGGAACGGCTAATGCTACCGCAGCGGGATGGGGGAATCTGGGGGCCGGAGTGGCACAGCTCATTATGGGATCGGCACTCTTTCCTCTTTTCAAGTGGTTCTACTCGTTCAATACGGAAGATCCAGCTAGCATTGCTGAAAAGGCGTGGAGAACTGTATCCGTTGTCCCTGCTACCATTGCATTTGCCTCGGGAATCGTCATGTACTTTATCAGTGAAGATGCGCCCAGAGGAAACTTTAAGCAACTCAAGCAACAAGGAGAAATGCAAGATGTCAAACTTGCTTCCTCTTTCATTGGAGGACTCTTGGATGTCAACACTTGGTTGCTCTTTGTGCAGTATGCATGTTGTTTTGGTAAGCCTCAAGATCATGTATGATGTATCCATGCATCATCTGTATTGGCAAATGTCTGTATCTCATCCCCTGTCTCTCTCTACTCTACTTGCCATTGTTGCAGGAGTGGAAATGACCATGAACAACGCCGCAGCTCTCTACTTTAAGGATCAGTTTGGACAGTCCACTGAATCGGCTGCTGCCATTGCGTCCATCTTTGGATTCCTCAACCTATTTGCACGAGGGTTGGGTGGATACTGTAGTGACAAGGCCAATGCAAGAGCGGGCATGCGAGGACGACTATGGGTGCACACCATTGTACTCCTCCTCGAAGGAAGTCTCATTCTCGTCTTTTCACAAACCACTTCGCTGGCATCTGCCATTGTCACCATGGCTTCCTTTAGTCTCTTTGTCCAAATGGCAGAAGGATCTTCCTATGGCATTGTCCCCTATGTCAATCCACCCATTACCGGATCCATTTCGGGCATTGTCGGAGCTGGTGGCAATGCCGGTGCCGTACTCTTCAGTCTCGGATTCCGACAGTTGCCCTACGAAGATGCCTTTCGACTCATGGGATCCTGTATCATTGGAAGTGCCTTTTTGTCACTATTCATCTTTATCCGACATCATCCCGGACTCATCTTTGACGGACGATCTCCTCCTCCATCATCACAAGAAGACGATGAAGATGGTCTCGGCAAGCCATCGTCCGATTTGGCATTGACCGATGGCAGTGACGAAGAAGACAGTCGCACGTCATACGATGTCGAAGCCGTCGCTGTGGTACAAGATGCTTCCTCCTCCACACATGCAAAACCACACTCCACCACCAGTATGGGAGACTTTTGCGTCGAACTATCATCCGAAAGTCAAATGCATGACAACCACAATCACAAGACTATGCAACGACAAGAAGAAGACCAACAATAACCAACAACTATACACACACAAATGCCATTCTCTGCGGGTGGCAGCATGGCATTGCATGCAATGAACGATTGGGGCATGCAAACAATTTTGAACATACATGTTTTTACATACTGACTGGCACACACAAGCAAGCAATCAAATCAAGCAACCAAGCAAGAGACACTACGCAGTGAGGAAAGAGTTGCTTGCTGTCATCCCGGGGTGTGTGATGCCAGGAGCTACTACCGACCTGCCTATCTATCTACTGTATCTACCTACGGACGTATCGAGACGGGAACTGAAGTGAGGCCGTTTTCGTGTCCATGTAGTAAAAGTGATAGAAGGCGAATTGAATCAATCCACTCCACTCCACTCCAACGGGAATGTGTCACCCTCCTAGCTAGCTAGACCTTGCTTTGGATTGCAAGACGAGGCAGCAACAGCACAGCAAAACATGCACGCCTCATACTTCACCCCTCCAATGACTCGACTCCTCTTACCTCGCTCTTATAGGCAGCCAGTGTAAGGATAATCATGTAAGAAGAGCAAACTTTAGCATTTTGTACAGGAACTTGGTCCGGATCATTCGTTCGTTGGCTAGCTAGTAGGTGCTACAGCTAGTCTGCCAGCTAGCCAACAGCACACCTCATGGCTGGCTACGGTACCTATCAAAAGGCAGTGCTGTGCTGTAATCGCCTGGTAGCTTGCTAGGAGTCCCGGTCAGAAGTACCGGTGGCAGATAGATGATGGATAGAGATGTACCGGTAGGAATGGAGAAGCTTCAACGAGATAAAGACTTATTGAGTAAAAATGACCACTATCAGGCATCAAAAATACTTTTAAAATCGTGAATTTCAATTTGAGTACCGTTTCAGCGTTGCCAGTACCGTTTCAGCGTTGCCAGTACCGTTTTTGAAACTGCCATATTTTAAAAAATGATATTGAATTTCAAAAAATTGTGAGGGTTTGCCCCTCCGGTACGGTAGGCTGCGCATTGTTGCTGAATCTTTCGCCAACGCGAGGAGGCAAGGAGGGTATTTCTTGAACGGACTTGTCTTTTGAACGGTCTCATTGTCTCATTTCTTCAGCGCAAATGATGATACAGGACCGCGGCAGTGGAACCAATGCGGGACTACGTAGCTGTCATGATGATGACGTGGGAGAGGATATAGTTGCGGCACAAGCAAGCTTGCAGACGAGCGATGAATGCTCGAAAGGACTGTTCGGCAGAGGCGATGTTTGTTGGAGCGATGGCTGATTGCGCACAGTACGTCTATGAAGCTATAGCTAGCATCATGCTTAAGTTACAAGAAGGAACTTAGAATGCCAGCCAGGTACGAAAGACTGTCCAAAACTGTAGCGCAAGTCACTTTGCTCTGCAATATGTAATGCTATCCTCTGTTTTGGAGGACGAGCTATGGACGTCAACCCAGTTTTCCTTCACTAAAGCCCTTGCGTTGCCTGTTTGGTGTCCACCGAAGAAAACGTACAGTGTAGGGTCTACTTAGTAGTTGTAGCTGATGCTTTCTTGATCAGGCCAGCCAATTGAGTCCGCCTCTTAGGATAACTGTACGGTAATGTACCTCGGCTTTGACTCCAGGTGGTAGGCAAACCTTGCCGCAAGTGCAATCCAATAGCTGTCTCTGGAGAGTCTGCATACAAGAGATGACAGAGGAACTACTACATGTAAAGAGAGAACTTTCCCCAAGTGGAGAATCTTCTTTGGCACAGAAATCGTGACATGTGTCAAGCTCGGCCCGTGTGTGACTAGGATCGCGGGTTGTTACTTATGGTGAATTTGATAATTTGGAAGCAAGATTTAACAGTGATGTCTCAGTTCCTCTACTACTTAGAGAGTGATTCATTAGTGTCCGGTTTCAGAAACATGTGAGAAACAAATGAGCAAGTACTTTGGAAAACAACACGGAACCACCATCCGGATCCGAGCATCAGGCGTGAGATCGCGTTGCTTTGGTTGTCTTCTTACTAAGTAGTGTCTTCTTAGTGTGTTGGTGATGGTCGACGAGTGCTTGAATTGAACTGAGTTGAATTGATCCTTTGTGTTTGTGAAGAAGACGAAGAAGAACAAGAGCAAGAAAGAAGATCTTCTTAAGACGAAGGATTTACAAGATGGTTTTCTCTAGCAGAAGCAGTCGCGAAGACACAATGCTGCAGCGCCTCTTTGAGTCTCTACGGGATGAAGAAGCGCAGTTGGAGCTAGAAGATCAAGAGCAAGATGACCATGACAATGACAATGCTACTAGTAGACCCACGGCCGACTTGGCAGAGACCGTGTTGCTAGATGCCTCGGAAGAAGACTATGACGCACACATGACCCCGTTCTTTGCCTCGCGTGGAAACACTATCAGAACCACTCCCACACCACCAACTCATGATATGCAGCAAGGAGGAGACACTACTAGTAGCTCAGTCAGTACTAGTAGTACCGGTACCATGGAAATGGAACTGCAGCTTCAAATGCAAATGGAACAAGCGAGTCTGGCACGCAGTGTGGACAGCCAGCAGTATGAGTACCGTCTGCCCAATGGCAATGGCAATCAGGGCAATGCAGACCTGTTGGGGAGCAAAAGGTACAGCTATACTCCAAATCCATTGTTGCAGGATCCAGCCCTTGATCAGCATTTAAGGGACTCGGCAAGGTCATTCTCCATGTAAGTGATACCGGTATCCAGGCTGTCTAGCTAGTACAAGTAGCTAGCTAGTCATACATACAAACATGCATCCAATCTAACACCTTTCTTTCTCCCTTTCGCAGGCTACACGCCATGGAAGAGGAAGTATCTCTCACATCCGATCTATCCGTGTCCATGCGATCCACACCCTCACAACAAATACCAGATGATTCACTCCGATCCACAAACACAAACAACAGCACCAACCAAGATCAGACACTGCCTCCGCCTCCTCCTCTCCAAGTTGCTCGAGAACTCGTGGTCGTGCCCCCAGTTCCAAAACCAATGACAATGTCCACTAGTAGTGAAACAAAACAACGATCTGTTCGATTCGCTCCATTGGAGGTCGTACTCGACTCGCCCCATACCACGCCAACAGACAGTGATACAACAACATCCGATGACGACGACGATGAAACGACGGTGCGCAGTGGTGCTGTTGGAAAACGAGAGCCGGTCTTAACTGATCAGGAGAATCACGACGAAGAGCTCGGTAATACCAATGGATGGGACACTGTCGGAGAGTTTGGGCTGTCGGATGCATTGCAATCATTCCAATGCCAGCCCGTCAACTCCGTGGACGTGGACGATTTCGAGCAAGAGGCAGAAGAGATGAACAGTGAAGAACCACTCGACAATGCTCTTCTTGTACTAACCAATGAGGATGATGGGGACAACTTGTTTGACCAAGTTCAAGAAGCTGTACCACTCGACACTTCTCTAGTGACCAATGATGGTGATAGCTGCGCAAATGATGATGATGATGATGACGGCGTTCTTGACAAGAAGCTAGACATGAGTGATGCCACACACACAACGTTCCTCCTGGAAGACGATGATGATGATGATGCAGAACAAGATATGGAAGACGAACAAACCGAGACCAATAACGATGACAGCGAGTGGGAAGATGAACCGGAAGACGAGGAGGAGGGGCAAGTGACGGATACTACTACAATGCGAGAGAGACTCATGGCGCTCTTCCCATGGCTTCGAAAACGAGGATTCGTTCTGGATGATGATGCTTCGTTGGAATCGTCTCGTCTGAGAGATGAAGAAGTGGTCGTGCGACCTCCTGCCGACGTCAATAGGTAAGTCGAGCCCGGTTGGATCGGGTTTGTTCGGTGGACAGATCGATTGCATGAGCATTTAGTTGCTCACTTCTGGCCTTTGCATTGCTTCCTCAACAGCATCAGCGCTAGTAAGGACATGACTCTTCTTCCCATGCATGGAGCCACTGCTGACACTTGGACAGACGACAGAAACGAAACATCCAGGGATGAGCTTGCCATGAAGAGCTGCTGCAGGCTCACCTTTTGCCAAATGTTGGTCGTGGCATTTGTCATTGCCGTCGCTACGACCGTCACGACTCTTCTTTGGGAAACAAGGAGATCATCACCCAGCTCACAAGGTGCAAAACCTTTGCATCCTCCCTTGTCGGCAACGGATATGTGTAACAGCGATGTGGACGAGATCAAGGAAGGAAAGCTTGACCTGACGATTACGAACGTGCCATTTGATCAGGTGTACGCCAAGCAACGAGAACTAGAGACGCTCTTTCAAATGGCATACAACGACGCCAGTGGCATGTGCGAAGGACCCTACGACCGGGTCCTACAGGGAGCATTTATTAGAGACATTGCCAGTGATGGGTCATCTATGATTCAAATTGGTTGGGCCGCCATGGCGAGCTGTAATGGATGTCCTGACTATGAACCTTTGTTTGCACGAGAATTTGGTGTTGACGGTCGTCAATTCCTTCTCAAGTTCTATGATTTCTTCAACCGATACTTGCCCGGTATTCTGGATGCCCCGGAGAGCCAGATTGTGTTCATGGCTTCCATCACGATCGACAACGGTGAAGCGGATCAAGTGATAGATTTCCTTCCACGACAGACACAAGTTCCTTCACCTGTGACACCTTCCGTTCCCTCGGCACTGCCAACACCCGTGTTCTCATCGCATCCCACGGAAACGCCATTCGTTGCTTCACCTTCCAGTGTTCCAACAGGGAATCCCTCGTCACTGCCAACACTGTCTCCATCCAGTTCCCCCACCGAAGCAAAGCGACAAGCTATCTTTGACATCGTCCCGGTATCTCCGACTTCCAGTCCAACAGCAGAGAATAGCGTGGGAACTATCACCAATCTTGCTCTCTGGGACCTTTCCAGGAATGCCGTTGTGGAAGGCTACGAAAATCTTCAAGATGGCTTTGTCTTGCAGAGATCACTTCTTCCTACATCATTCACATTCATGGCGGAAACTTCTTCCGAGGAGACTGATGGTGTGCATTTCCGGATTTACGGGGACGACAAGGTGAAGATTATGCACGCGGCGGTCGAAAAGCCATACACCTTTAGCATCGACCCTTCGCTCGGCGCCCGCTGGAATTTTGACCCATCGGAAACAAGTAAGTACCCGAGTCTCAATTTCTTGATTCCTCATCCGACAATGGTGTGAAAGAAGCTGACGTTGCTCCTGTTGCCCCTATAGCATATCTGGTCGAGGCACGGTCTTTCGTCTATGATTGGGATGAAGGACTGCCTATTGTTGGGTCTAGGCGGATTCTGGAGTTTCATATTACCGAATAGTCGTACCTGATTGTCACGACCACAGCTACCAGTCAGTACCTATGATAGACGCGAAGTGCGTCAATAGGCCTTGCTATGACTTCCGTCGCAAGGCCCCGTTGATCCATTTACATGCATAGTTATACATTGATTTATAAATCTTGCATATGCTTCAATGCGTTTCGCTCGCCACGATGATTTTCTTTCGAAGCTTAGACACATGGTGGTCCTACTCTGCTGTCGGCTCTCACGAAAGCGACATCATGATAACTACCCAGTAAACATCACGAGCAAATGACGGGCGGATCGAACGAGCCCTTTGTTGGCAACACATACATCATCTAACCCATACAATAGCTCTAGCTAGCTTCAAACTTCATTTACTTGTTCGTACGAGTAAGTTTTGTTTTCATCAATCCATCAATTAATTAAAACGAATAATATCGACAGACACATCCTCCCGGACAGACCACTTTCAAGCAATTCACTTCAAAGAAGGCAGTTTGCAAAGCGCCAATGCAATGGCACCGGCCTTGACCGTCAAGTCCGTGCTATGAATCCACAGTTCTCACAAATGCGTAGCAGAGTCTTTCCAACGTGGGAGCCAACAATCCCAGCTGGCACGGCTTTCATCAATCAACATCGATTAAAATGCATAACACCGACAGACACATTCTCCCGGACAGGTCACTTTCAAGCAATTCACTTCAAATCGCTTCAAGGATGGCATTTTGCACAGGGCCGATGGGATGGCACCTGTCAAGTCCGTGCTATGAATCCACAGTTCTCTCAAATGCGTTAGCAGACCAAATTCGCTAGGAATTCTCCCGTTGAGACGCGGGTTGTCATGAAGATAGAGTTTTTCCAACGTGGGAGCCAACAATCCCAACTCGGACGGCAGGGCACCGGACAGATTGTTGCCCCACAAATTGAGTGTTTTGACACTGGACATGTTTCCTAGTTCGGAGGGTATGGGTCCGTCGAGTCGATTCTGGTAGGCATCGAATGTGTCGAGTGAGGTCATTCTCCCAAACACAGTCGGGATGGATCCCTGCAAGTAGTTGGAATGGATATCCAACCATTGGAGCACTGTCATCTCCCCCAACTCGGACGGGAGCGTCCCTTCGAGTTGATTCTCTTGGAAATACAGGTGTTTCATAGTGGAACTGAGCAGAGCCAGTTCGGATGGAATGTTGCCTTTTACGCGGTTGCGTTCCAAATTGAGCGACGTCAATAGCGTCATGGCTCCAATTTCGGACGGAATGGACCCGGACAAGTGGTTCCACTGTAGATCCAAACGAGCGAGTTGTTGGAGTCTGGCAATTCGAGTGGGAATGGTGGATCTGATTTGATTGTACGTGTATAAGAGGGACGTTAACAAGGAGAGTGTTTCGAGCTGGGTGGGGAGCAATTCGGAGAGATCGGCATTCAACTCTGTGTAACTAATTTGGATGGCTTGTAGATCGGTCAAAAAGGCGACTTCCGGCGGTAGATATCCCCGCACATGTGGAATGTTGTGTTCACTGTCTCCCGTCAGTATCAAACGTCGCACCATTCGTTGTTCGCGTGGCGCCAGAGGCGGTTCCGACGGCGCCTTGTCGGCCTTGTCATTCTTTTTCCAAAAGAGATCTCTACCATTCTTGTCGTCAGTATTGTCACACCAATGAATGTTCTCGAATGGTTCCATCCAATCG